AGATTAATTGGAATAACGTTTCTCATATTGAAGAACAGAGTATGGTGAAAGGAGAATTTGGATCACTCTCAGTCGATTGAACGATCGAAAAGAAATGTTCTTAAGGGTGTTTCAACAAGGGTTATTTTCGCCCTCTCACACTTGCAAACAATTTTGCCTCGTTTTAAATTCGCCCAGTCACAATTCTGTTTAACAAATTATACTGTGTTTTTTGCTCTTAAAATACGCTTACTTGGAATCGTATCAAACTTGACATTGAAATCATCCTATATTTTTACCACAAAAAAAAATGAAATAAAAAAAAATATACCAATTCTGAATCCTTGAGGGTGTACAAAGTATCATACAAAAGAAGAAAGTCTAAATAGAAAGTATCTGGACAATAGGAACAGCTAGATTACATATAAATGCGAATCTATTTACTTCAAATAATGCTCGTCCGTCGCGATAGCCTATTGGTAGGCCGTTCGCTTCGTGATTGAGATGTCCGAGTTCGAATCTTGTTCGCCGCCTTAAACGTAAATATAGTGACTGTTCCTTCGCCAAGCGCCCGGCACTAGTAGTTAAAGTTCGGAAGAAACCTTAAAAACTGAGGTCACTGGGCGTTTGCACGATAGGGAGTCCTCACTGTTCAATGGCACTGAGTGCCGAGTTTAGGTGAAAATTTGAAGCCCATCACCGTTATATCGTGACGGCTCTATGTGATTGGAAAATTCTCGAATGGGACGTAAAACAACATGTAATCAATCAATCAAATACTGAACTACATACTAGATTAAAGTATCAATTCAAATTTACATCAATTTGATTTTCTTGCAGTGAGGAAAAAGGGAATTAAAAGATGACACAGTCTCTAGATCTGATAAGGTGACTGTTCAAATTGTGTCAAATAGAGCCAAGACAAATACTTCTTCCAAACGAGCATTTATCCTTCAGTCCGTCCATATGTCAAGGTGAGGCTTTTTACAGAAAAAATAAAGAAACGAAAGTATAATATGCCCATGGGTATCTTTTCTGAGTCACATTGTCCCTGCTGATCTTCATCAGAAGATTTGACACCCCCCCCCCCTTTATTCGCAAGAAAAAATTGAACCCCATACTACCCTATCCCCAAGGGGTCATGTCATAATGTTAATCCAAAAAACATGGAGATGCAAGACTAATACATACGTAAGGTAAAATTTGATCCCCAGTTTTAGCTCCACCTTACCACTAGGGTCCATATTTGAAAACTTTGCACACACATATCTTTGAAATGTTTGCATATTAATTCAATTTAAAGGGAAGTGCTACTCTAGAAACGAATTGTAAGTAAATAGTAAATATATTTCTATGTGAAGCTTTGATCCCCTATCGCGGTCCTATCACCCATTGGGCCCATGATTTGAACAAAGTTGAATTACACTACTGGACCGGGATACTTGCATATTAGTATGAATAATCATGACCCTGTTCTTGAAAAAGAAGATTTTTAAAGATTTTTTTTCTAACCATTCTCATGTAAAAAACAGTTATCCTTAATTGTGGCCCCACCTATTCCTAGGGGCCATAATTTAAAAAAAAAACATAAACATCCAATACCAGAGGATGCTTGTTTTAAAATGAGTAATCATGGTCCGGCAGTGCTGCTCTTGAGAAGATTTTAATTTTTCCCATATATATTTCTATGTTAAATTTTGGACCCCTATTGTAGTCGCAACTTAATTCCTAGGGTCATGATTTGAATGAATTCAGCCCAAACCTACTCTCGGGGGACATAACTCAACAAACTTGAATCTGACTACTTGAGGATGCTTGCAAATTACTATGACTAATGCTGGCCCTGCTGTTCTTCAAAAGAAGATTTTATTCCTATATATACCCATGTAAAATTTAAACCTTTATTATCTTCCACCCTAACCCTGGGACCTTGATTTAGACAATTCTCAGTTTGTCAAGGAAGATTTTCTGGAAGTATCATCATTTCTATACCCCAGTGGTTTTTGAGAAATTACCCAACCGTATTTTTATCCTTTCTTGATTATCTCCCCCCAAAAGGGGATATGACCCTTCATTTGAACAAATTTGAATTCCCTTCACCCAAGGATACGCTTTGCTATGTTTGATAGAAATTGGCCAAGAAGTTTTGGAGAAGGATATGAAATTTTTAAAGTGTACGATGAAATGGACAACCACCACCACGAAAGACAACGGACAAAAGCTCACTTCAGCCTTGGCTTAGTGAGCTTAAAATTAAGAGTAAAAAAAATCGTATTATGGTTGATGAGGGACAGGCCTGGAATATAATCGACATATTCCCCCAAACACGGATTCAGGTTTCAGTTTCTTTTCTGTCGGCACACGTACGTGTAGAGTGGGGTGTCAGGTATCGTATACAACTGATCATATCATTGCGAAACTTAATAAATTAGATACAGACTAGGGTCGGATGTCAGGTCCAAAACAATCTTTTTGAGCAAAACATTGCAGTGGCGTTTATCCAAAATTTGGGTGGAGAATAATTGATTAGGAAAATAAATAAATAAACAAATGAATGAATAAATAAATAACGTATATATTTTATTTAAATAAATAAAGAAAATAGAATTTTTTTTAAAAACTCAAAATTCTTAAACCGCGCGGGGGAAGGGGGGGGGGGGTTGAATGAAAATAATTTCCAGTCAAATTTAACAGAAAATTCTCATCAGAAGTAGACATTAAATTCAAATACATGCAAAAAAAAAATTCCAAGGAGATAGAACGATAAATACAGAGATATGTGACTATCAAAACGCATTTCCCTGCGTTTATTTTTAATCATACGTGTACCTGAAATGAACGTAGTAAAAACAGGTAAAATGCAGTTTTTACGCTCAAAACAAATATAACAGATACCATTGTAGTAAACCTATTCTAAAGATTAGTCATATAACTGCAAATTAAGCGAATAAGATTAGTCGGAGAATGTGAAAAAGATTTTAATTTTTGTTTGTTTTGTTTTTCATGGGGGGGGGGGGGGGGGGAGAAACAGTATACATGTATATTTAATTTGATCTCTATGGCTTAATTATTGGACACCTAAAGATTGCAATACTTGAAGTTAAATTCATTCTGTAAAACTTTTCACTCGTCTCAGAACTATTCATGCTTTTGTAGCAAACGTCCCACAATATCTTTGTAATTAGTTATGTATACATTTCCCTTGTAAATGTTCAATGTAGACACCCTGGAGTTTGAGAAGTTCAAGATAGTTTACATAATTATAATATCAGCCTTTACACTTTGGTATATTCTGTCAAAGCTTGGCAACCGAATATCAATGACAAGACATGACCTTCCACGACCTAGGCAGATTTCACACCGATATTTAGTTTGTACAATTAAGACTGTATCACAAGAAGGAAAAATATGCTGCCGATAAAAATCCACATCGTGTCACTTTCCTCTAATTGAGTCCGATCACTCCTGTCCTGCAAAATCCGGACCAGCTCCAATTCTAAAGACCCTGTCTGCAAACCGACTCCTCTGTGATTGAGCCCCGTGACAAAATCTCTGTCTACGATCGGAAGCTTTTCTGCAAGTGGCAGATTAGGTTTACGTGATACTGCAGAGGAGGGATGATTTATAAACCAAACACAGGTAAACAAAGGGAATACCTGATCACAGGTATAACTCACCGTGTCACGCGCAGATAGGCGCCGGATCGCAGATCAAATATCACTGGAAACTGAAACATTCTGTAATCATAACGCTCGTCAACGGACACTCGCAACATTTTCGATACATTATGAAAGTGATGCAAATGACAAAATTGACAATGTGGATAAAATTCAATTAAATAAGCTCAAAATTACAAATTTTCTGCATAATCATTCGCCGATTAAAATAGCTTCGGGAAAAAATGCTTCTGTATACCACCTGCATGTTGCGAAACACGTTCCCTCTCCTCTGAGTTCCTGTACACCTACCTGCCGGCCTGCAGACAACGGCTCAAGTTTGTGAATTTTCGCACGAACTCGTTGAATGTCTTTTTGAATAAGAACAAGATAACAAAAACCATATAATAGTGATGAGCATTGCAAAAACACCAAGCAGGCAGCAATAAAAGTCGGTAATGTACATAAAACATGCTGTAGATAGCATCAGCTCGCTAACGAGATTACATTATAAAAATTATATCGGCAAAAAGGCTATTTCTCCTTGTAAAGACGCAATTATATCCATAGCAAATAGGCAGAGATTATTGAATTTATACAAAATCATTAGAAGAGAATATATCAGGGATTTTAACAAGGCTAGATCGATGTGGTAAATAATTGAACAATAATTTAGCAGTAAATGCCAAAGAAAGACAAGAGTCGAATCTCGAGATGAACTATTTAAAAATTTGGTTTCTATTGCATAATTATGCGGCACCAACGTCAGGTTGATATATACAAACCATCCATCAGCCTGCTAAATGAGTCTTGTAAAAAATACTAGAGTAGTGAAGAATCGAGTGTGTTTTCCATCACTTAAAAGACATCCTGAAGAAACGCTACCGATGCCTTCATATCTCGATAGAACGAGACGCAAAGCCTCTGCATTGAGGCGCAACAGCGGGGTAGAAACTTCCGTACCAATTTCTGACAGAAAATATTCATTCTGGTTAAACTGACTCGTGACATCGAGAAATATACCAACATGAATCAAACATGAACTGGCAAATACAAACAACATCATCCATGTCTCATAGCATAAAATAACTCTATTAAAGTTTTGAAATACTGTTCGCTAAGAAACTTTTTTTTTCTTTTCTTTTTTCTTTCTTTCTTTTCTTTTTTCATTCTTTCGTTTCTTTTTTTTTTTTTGGATGAAAAAATGATTATGACACAGTACTTTTAGCGCAGTTTAAATCATCGTGTCATTTGTGAAATCATACTTCATTGGTGTAGTTTTATTTTATTGACGATCTGTGATAATGCCAAGTCTCAATTTCATTATAAAAGAAATCGTAAGGTAATGAAAACAGACACACAATGTAATATAAAAAAATCATGGCTTTATTCATTTCGAACAAAGTATTGTCACTCATTTGGCTAGCAGACAAGTGTGTCAGTAACACACGCTTAAACAATACATAAACTTTTGCAGATTGTAAAATAATTATTTTGTAGACATGTGACACAAATATTAATTGAAAATTAATGAAGATTACCTTAATATATAGCTAGTACTAAGAAGAAGTTGAAATTAATAGACACCTAAAATAGCTAGTCCTTTTTAAAATACTGTTTAATCTGAACCATGTGATTTTTTTTAATTTCTACTTGTATATGATTTCTAGTAATTGTGAATTCTGCAGACATTTGATTGTCGTGATTCTGGATATGATAGAAACACTTTTAGAAGTGAAATCAAAGAACCAATATGAAGAAATAAAATATCCGAGCAATTAAAGAACGACAATTTGTTCTGAACAAAAAAAAATCCAGTCATCGATGACATTAAATTTTAGAAGTCTTTTAAAATACATTTTTGTTAAGAAAAAAATCTTACTATATTATTTTTTTCAGTTTTTAATTAAATATTCTAAAATTTCATCAAGAGTTTCAGCTGCATGTATACATGTATCAATGCTAGCCATGATATGTAAAGGTTTACCTACTACTTGTAAGTAGGAGATGGACAATAAATCACTTTGATTTAGATATTAATCAATAGCCTGTACAACAACAATATATACAAAGTATATAAATAAAAACAGAGGCTAATCTTTGGTTTTGTAGTAATACTTCACATAGCGGATTTGTAATTCATGTGGATATATTGAATAATACAGGACAACCCTCTGCCAACACAAGTATTAAAATAATCTTACTGGTGTTAATTTTCAGTGTTAAAAAGCACCTTCTAATTCTGTCAATTTATTTGACACAGGGCAATATAGGAACGGAATTTGTATAAATTATTATGCTATTTATACAGCAAAGCTGCATATCATCATACACTTCAGTATGATATCATAGTCCAGATTTTCTCAACAAAAATCTTTGGTGAAGTCAGCACATTCATACTTTTCACAATCACACTGGATTTACAAAGTTTCCTTTGAACTAACGACATAGCGGATTTGGTTTTCATGAACACAATCATTGACTAGATTGGGGTTAAATCCGGATGTCCCAGCATATGAGTAAAGTGATGAGTCGGATCTAGAAGCCCGGTTCCGGCTTCCATTAGTCTTGTTTTTGTATTTGGTAGTTTGTGTTCTTTTTTCCATTTCATTCTTCTGTTCTGAAACCAGATTTTGATTTGTCGTTCTGACAGACACAGGGTGTGAGCGATCTCAATTCTCCTCCTCCGCGTTAAATAACGATTAAAATGGAATTCTTTCTCTAATTCCAGAATTTGGTGTCGAGTGTAGGCAGTTCGGTTCCGTTTTGATTCCGAAACTAAGTTGTTACCTAAAACATAGAGAAAAATTAAGTTCAGTGAAAAAATTAGAATTGAATTATTTTCGTAGCAATATATTAGAGAATCATAAAAGAATATTGGCTTTTTTTGGCCATATCTTCAAGTACAATCACACAAAATCTCTCTCTCTCTCATTCTCTCTCGATCGACTGATCGAGATTAAGTATAATACAATTTTTGGTCCTTTCTCATACAATATTATTTTTCCTTTAATTTCGATATTATTATGGTTAATGATTTTAAATATTTATTTAAAGTGACCTTGAAATTTAAAAGTGTTAAAAATTAAAATTTAAACAATTAGGCTGTCGCCGGGGAATAGCCATTGTCGCATATCAATGAGGCAAAGGTTAGAACCTGCGTTGAACGTAAATATATGAATTTTCATTGCGTCTGCATGAAAACAATATATGGGCGCGTGACACACACAAGGAGCACCTTTGTACCAAGAAATGCCGAGTTAAATACCAGAAACGAACTTAACGGATCAAGGAAATCCGGGAAATAACATTCTGAATACAAATGTCTCACTAAATATTACGTAAAATGTTGGATATTTTCTTAAAAGATTTTTATTCCAATGGTATTTGTTCAGTGTTAACATTCTCTTATACATTATTCGTACAACTTCTTAGAAATCACCAAAGATCAGACTTCCAAATTCAAAATTGTTAAAATATTTTAAATTAATTTTTGTAATTATTGCAGAATAAATAAATGAAACATTTTACGAAAATGTATTTAAAATGAAAAAAGGTTTCCCTTTTAATTTTTCCTGTCGTGTTTATTACCCAAATGAAAATAAACTTTTAACATGAGCGGAATTCTGAGGTTTCCGCCCTACGAGGTTTAGAGTGTGAATTTTATTAAATGAAAACGGACAAACAGTGTTCTTAGTGTATTTCTGTTGAGACATAACAAGCTCGCAGGTCACAGAGATTTTTGACCTTATATTCATAACCAGCCGGGAACACGATTTCTAACTTACGACTTGACAGGTATATTTGGCCGTGTGTACGGTAGAAATGACAGTAACTTCTATTAATTTTCTGCGCTTTTTAATTGCATAACTATCGGAAACAGAGATCTTCACACTGAAAAACATGCCATCAACAATTTGAAAAAAAATAACTTTAAAAAAATTCATAGCAGATGGATAAAACATTTTAGTTAATAGTGCGTTTGCCTACTTATTTTAGGTAGAGCACAATTTTTTCAAAAAAGAAAAAAAAGAAAAAAAAATGTATCAATTGAAAGGAAAGTAAACCACCTTGCATGCTGCGTTTTGAAAACAAATGACTGGACTTTTGTAGTCTTAATTTTCTCATTGTATATTGTATAATGAGTATCTTGACACTCGTAAATAACAAACTGTCGAATACACTTATTATTTAAATTGATGATGTACCTTTGTATATTTTATATCCATGATTTTGACACATGTAGTAATTTTTTTAACCACATGAAGAACTTCTGGTTAACGAGTTTTTTTTTTCTTTTTAGTTACATTATTCATAAAAAGTAATAATATTTGATACAGCATGCTTAATATTTATACGACCTTGGCACTCGAATTTAATGGAGACTCCCCTTCTTAATATTCAGGGAAAATTACCGTGTGCTTCCCACGAGGAAGTCACATATAAACAAAAATGTTTCCTGCATTTAACACTTTTGTAGTAAAATAAATAAATGAATTGATAACATCTTTAAAATATTACATTTTAAATTGAATGAATTGAATTTGATAGCTTACTATATAATAGGGTAATTTAAAAAACACTTATTTCGAGGAAAATTATTTGAAAGAAAATTGATTCAAAACCCTTACCAATCCCTTTCTATAATATAATTCATAGCCCCACTCCCACTGTGCTGTGACCTAATTACATGACCACTGCCATAAAACAACAAACTGTAAAATATCCTCTTTGTTGACGTTTACATCTGAGAAATTTCTTAATAAATCTTTACAGATGATACTTGTAATTTTAATCTTTTTCGCCCATATAATTTTATATAAATATATTTTACATATACACAGAGTAAAAATGCACATTAAAAAGGGAATAGTTTCATTAATTTTTTAATACCTTAGCTTTTCTTTTTTAAATAAATAATATGAAATGCTTTCAAAACCTCATATTTTGTAAGCTATTAAATGTCCTGTGAAATTTATAATGTTAAAAAAAAGCATAATCTTTTCCTAAACTATTTGAAAAGTCAGAATTGTTTAACTCGGTATGACAAAAACTGCAACAAGAGTATTGAGGAAAATATCAATTTTAGAAAAAAAAAATTGCATCATCGGAAAATGTCAGATGCTGTACTTAAAAAGTCGGCATTCATGCGGGGTTGTATATGTCTATTAACACTTGATAGGAATTTCAATTTAATCCGAAAACATGAGTGATGAAATTTACAATTAATCGGGTTTATTAACAAGATGCAATGGGAGGAAAAGAAAGTCAGGGTAACAAAGTACAACAAAGATGTGCACTCAGAATTTGGAAAACATGACAAGTTTCTGACATCGTTCGAAAAGGCCAAGATATAGACAGATGTATTTTGTAATTGAAGTGTTGGTATTTTACGAGGGTTGGATGGTAAGGGTGAAGTCTGATAGACTAAGAGACCGCGGATTTGACGCGTTTATGATTGTAATCAAATGAATGCAAGTCTTCTTCTCTTAACAGGCCTCACTTAACTGAACAATCAAAGAACATCAGGTTTTATTTCGTCTTAGTGAATGAAATTTCAATAATGTCGGAAAACGATCCGTTACCTTAGCAATAAACACCCGGGTAACAACAATTCCGTGATGCGTGTGTAACATAGCTCGTATTGTGATTCTGAATTGATTTATTACGATGGTTATTGGCCATAATCGCTCCCCATTAAAGCTCGAGGTGAGAAGAAGCTTCTTAATTCAAGTTTATAGGCAATTTGTAACCATTATGAGGACTTAGTGCTATGATAGATTGTTTCGACACGCGAACTTAGTTGGTTTATTTATTTAGCTACAATGATCTACTTCATTTGAAGGCCATATTCCCCTCTATACGAACACATAAATGGTTTCATGTTTTTCCTCCCATCTTTAAGCTAAGAACAGGTAAAGTTTTTCATATTACCCTATTTACTCGCGGATCACGACTTTTAATTCACCGACCCAAACACAGCTCATATTTTGTAATCTCAATATATAAATTATTAATAACATTTACCGCTATGTTTACAGACGCACCATCCATAAAAAATACCGAATGTAAATCATTCATAAGAAATATGACATTTGACAAGTTGCATGCGAAAGAAACAAAAAATAACACGGAATCATTTTTTGATTTAAATTTACAGGGAATTAAAAATATTTCGCTTACCTGGGTTGTTTCCCTGACTTTTCTTCATCCAGGGGTATATGACTGGCTGTCCATCAGACTGTTGCTGGGCACAAGAACTCTGTGAGAGGGGTGAGGAATTTCCATCTGGAGAAGGGACGGGAGGGGGGCTAGGAGTAGAGGACTGTGAAGAGCCAAATCCATTCATTGTCCCTCCCCCACCCCCGCCATGGTTAGAGACGGGGGGTGAGGGTTGTGGCGGTGACACAGGTTCGTTGTTAGTACAGCCTCCATACTGATTTGGGGTATATTTTTCCTCATCATACCTTCTTGGATCTGGAAATCCGTAATGTGTTTGAAAATTACTTCTATAGTAGTCAGTTCCATGATTTGGAATATAACTTTGTTGTGAAAACTCATCGGCAGGAGGGAATTTCGGCTCAGTATATTGAACTGGAGTCATCAAAAACGAACTCATGATCATTAATTTTCACCGAATTGGTTGTAAATAATTCCAACTCGTTACTACACATATTCTAGTTTCACTTGCTAGCCCTCCCATCTTTCTATATCATTTTGTCACGTGACTAAGAATAGCCAATGGGTGTACACATCCAACCCGCTCAAGCAGAACGCTAAAGACTAGGCGCACCGTCAGTGGCCTTTGGCTATGAACAGCTATTAAAATATTTTTATCTAATAACAAGTATATTGTAATACCTAAAACCCGTTGTAATAATTGGGATCTAAGACTTAATCTTTTGTTCATTAACATCATGTTTTTTACGGTAGGAATTTGAAAACATGATTAATTGAATACCTACGTCGGAGAGATCAAAACCAAACAGGTTTGAGTGGAAAATGTATGCGTTTACTAACATGTTAATATAGAAATATGAGGTTTTATTTATAAAACTAATTAATAAAATTTAATTTGTTCCATGAAAAACAAATATATCATATTAAATTTAAACTTTCTTATTTTTCAAATTATTTTGAATTAGAATTTGGCAGTATCAATTTGCTGTATGAAATATATCTTCATTTATATATTCAAGAACTTCATTTTACGTTTAAAACATAAATTGTATCAATAAAATACATAACATCGCTTGTCGTATTTTAATATTTTATCAAATTTATGCTTCACTTTGATATATTTCATTCTAATAATTTTTTTTTGTAGAGTTCAGTGGAAAAAAAGCGGAATTTTACGTTCAAAATCCTTATTTACGGTGGCGCTAATAAATTAAATCTTTTCATCGTGCTAATGGAACATTGACACAAACCAATTTTTACGACCATCGTCAGATTCATGCCTTAAAAAATTGAATAGTTTCAAATTTACAACAGATATTTGGTTCTACTAATTATTTTATTATGCTCCTCTGCTTGTATATTTCCTTATTCACTCATTCTATTTTCTCTCACTCTAAATTCAATGCATGTAAACTCACCTAATTACTCTTCAATTATTCGTACAAACTCACTCTCTCGCAGTTCATAAAAACATATTTAATAGCTTTTGTTTCACCTCAAAAATTTTTAATGCAAAAATTTCTTTCACAATCTTTATTACCATGAAATTCTGTATCAGCAGTTACTTTTAAAATTACTTATAGATTCTAATATAACATTAAAACTGAAACTGAATTTTTAATTCATATTTAAAATATACATAATTGTTTTAATATGGTACACAAATCTAATGACAAACGATACAAAATATAAAAATATATAACATATAAATCTTTGACATATATACAACAGATAGACGGTGTGAATCACTACAGTGTGATGTTGTAAAATTCACGAAGATGACACTGGGCAAATGTTGCCGATTCATATGTTGCCGATTGTAAAACAGGGAACTGTCAGAGAAATCTGGTCCGGTGGCAGGCCTTAGATCAATTTTTCACATCCATCCACATGTGCAAGCAACAGGCACAAAATCAAGTCATCTGTAGCTGTTACCGGTGCAAATTTATTAACATATACATGTGCGAGTGAAAACAGTATAGATAGATTCGTTTAATTACAAATTACTTGGTAAACCTATTGTCAAAACCAACAACTCAAATTCTTTGGCTTTATATATATATATATATATATATATATATATATATATATATATATATATATATATATATATATATATATATATATATATATATATATATATATAGATATATAGATATATAAAATTCTTCCACTTAGCTTTGGAAAAGATTTTAATTTATACATAATGAAGTGATCACATTTCATCCAAAAAAAAATTTTGTGTATTGAATAAAAGTATTTGTGAGCAATAATATCTGCAATAAAAAAAGCAATAAAAATTAGTAAGGTTTAGAAAATAAGGCCATAAAAATTAGTGTTTGAATTCCGTACTTACGCAAGAACACGGAAACAGAGCAGTAGAAACAAAAAACATGACAAATTGGGCGTTAGGGCGCGTGGTTCTTACCCCAGAGGCGGTACAACCGGACCCTGGGATTATCGGGTCAGAAATCTTGCCAAAATCCTCTGATAAATGAAGTCTGATCTAAACAGTTGTTTGTCCAGTCTGAATTCAAAGAAAAACAAGGTTCACCCCAGACCATGCCTCGTCTTCAAAGGGTTTTTGAAGATGCTTTTTTGCCTTACATGGAAAATTCTTCAGGTTTACATGTATATGTCGCATAAGATTTAAGAAAATTGATACTATATGTTTAAATTACTTAGAGTAATAACAAATGATTCGTTTTAACTGATTAATAGACTTTGCATTTTTTAAAAATAAATCTTATTTTTTGTAAATAAAAATACTTTTTCTATTCTTTTCAGCTTTAGAAATTATTAGAATATAGATTTCATTGATTATAATTCAATTACTTAGATCTGTTTTGCTACATTTATTTTGACGCGTATACAAGTAAATTTATTAGCACTGAAATAACCTTTCTTTTAACTGTTCACATGTACACTTTAAGATTGTATTTTTAAAAGCATAATTTGAGATCGGTCATTTTAGTTCATGTGTATTTTGAGTTCAATCATTTTGGTTTATGTGTAAATGTTAATCACACTGAGTGAAAATATTCTTCATTTATTTTTTAATTTAGATGCTATTACATCGATAAATCTAATTTGAAAAAAAAAATTCCTTAGTATTTTCAACACACAATATCATCAGTGACATATACACGTATATATTAACGGAATAGGCAAACCTTTTCAGCGCTATGCTTATTTGCCCAAAATTCACACACAACCTTACATTTGTAAACTTTTTTCAAAGAGCTTTTATTCTCCTATTAACTTTCGATGTTTGATAAATTATTATGATGTATTATGTTCTGAAATGTAAATTTTAAAGCATACATTGGAAAATGATTTAAATATAAGTAAATAGCCACCAAAATTCGGTGAAATCTCGGAAATATGGCATATGTTAATTTTGTAAATAAATTGTATATACTAAGATAAGGAGTGTAAACAGTCAAAAATGACGTATTTTGATTTTTTTTTTCTTTTTTAATTTTTGTTTAAAGGTTTTGTTCTGATATATTTGATTATTTCATTTAAAAGTGATATATAAAATCCCGTGACTTGCGAGGTATAGCGAGACTTACGTCCCTGCTCTCATGATTAAAACAATTTTCATTTTAAAGTAAATTCAGTGTACATCTTCCTTAGCCTAATGTTTAATTTTTTTAAGCTCAGAGATTTTTCCAAGGAGAGCGTTAAAAAATTGTGAATAATACACAAACGTTCATATCTGTTGATGCTAGTAGACAAACAGAAGGCTAATGACCTTTTCGTTTTGTTTTTATGCCATCAGTGACTAATTTTCGTTTCAATGGTAGCTGGTGCATAATTCCCTCCTCCAATTGCTAGCAATCTAGTTTGGGGACTTTGAGGAGGTCAGGGGGGACAGCTGGGGGTCATTGTTTGGTCAGATATTTCTGGGGAGGGACTGTCAGGGGGACGGGGGTTATTAATGTACACATTTTTCATCTTCACCCAAAAGACAACCGGTTCTTTTCATGAGCAATTAGATTCCCATCGAGCGATTCTGGTCCTCTTTGACAAAACTTCAGGGATATTAATGGTGGCTGTGAAATATTGGAATGTAGCAATTATTATTTATTGAGATGAATGGGTCTCTCACCTGCCTCCATCTTATTTTTTTCTCAAGATTTTTTTCCCTTTAACTGGGAAGTAGAAATCTTATAAAGATTATAAAGACTGGGCTTGATAACATTTTAGCCTAACAGTCTCGTGAATGTCAATTTATGTATACAAAATGTACATGTGTCACTTCTTCCCCATTTATATCAAACTGTAGCAAATCGTATTAAGTTGTCAAAACTAACCTAGTTTACCATTTCATTCTTATTATGACAGAAATATCAGGGGTGTCACAATATTTATTATCATGTAGGTAAATTAAGAAATTTTCTCTAGTTTTTCCAGATATCATAACCTTGTTTTGATCAGTTACATTCCATTTTCAAAATATAAATGTATATACATGTAATTATGCACCTGATGTGTATTGGTTAATATTTATATGTATACCGGTATGACAATAAGTAATGAATTTTTGATTTGAACAGTTTCGCAAATATATTCCATGTTCTTTTTAACCAGGAATTGTGAATATTTTGCGTGACATTCAACTAAAAGGAGTGATTATGTAGTTTGTTACTGAAAGTGAGTATGTATACTGTACAAAAACTGTCTGCAAAGCCTCTATTAAAACCAAGAAAAAAAGTAGTTTTAATTGTGTGTTTAAAATTGTCTTTTCTATTCACACTTATTAGTGGTATATGTCTACCTGTAAATAATAAACCGTTAGTTTAGTATGTCAAATGGCTAACTATGTCTTACATTTTTTTGGTTTGCTGATATTCCCATTAATATCAAGAATCGTATTCTATTCAAACATTGAATTAACATGCGTTTATTTTTACATCAGACTCTTCAAGTTTATACAAAAAATGTCATTTGGAATTTTTTCCTTTTATTGATTTAGTTTCGAGTCTTCATATTTGTGTAATGAATTGATGTGAATCAGTGAACTATATGAATGAACAAACAAAATGGTCTTGGAAAATAAAATTTGTTTTTTGTGGACTCAATACTAACTGTGTGTTTTGCAATTATGTGTAATTCTTTGACTTTCAAACTCAGTACACAAAACAAGATATATTTTATACATGTATATAAAAAGGATAAAGACGATAATCACAATAAATCAATGCCAAATTCATCTCGATTATGTATACAAATGCAAAGTCAGAGAATCCTAAAACTAATTAAACCTTAAATTTATATTTTGTACATTGTTCTCTTTATTTTCCTTACTACTGAATGATAGACAAGACTAGGAAAGTGCCTTCCATAGGTCCACTCAATTGTTTTTATTTGGAACAACTGATCTTGTGGCTACACTTAACAATCAATGTATGCTATTCTTACTGCGGCGGAAGAAGCCGGAAGACTTTGCCGATAACGCCCTGGGTGAGACGACGCGAGAATAAGTGACATTCGCCATTCATTT